CCAGATGTGATTGGTGCACACTTGTAATCTCTGAACTGGGAGCTGGAGACAGGAAGATCCCTGGAGCTCTGACCAGCAGCCTAGCCTAATTGGAGAGTTCCAGACCAGAGAGACACCACCTCGAAAAACAAAGTGGACCCTTCCTGAGGACGGACATTGCAGATTAACCTGTGGCTTCACACACCCAGGTGCACCCATATGTATATATACACACACTAGATGCACAAATTATTTAACAAAGTAAATGAGGCTGTTCAGCAGCTCTGAGGTGGGGTAGGTTACCTACCATAGCACTGCTGAGTTCAGGAGCTGAGGACCTGTGCAAACCTCATTAGCAGTGGCTTTGGCCGGTGTTAAACCGTTTCAGGACTTGGTGTTCTGGAAAATTCTGTCCTGTAACAGAAGAGAGCTGATGGGTCTGCATTCTTCCCTATGTGGCTTTTGTAATGAGGGGCCAGTGGGACATAGTCCCTCATGGCCCCCAAGAACACTGGTTCTGACCTCGGGCTGGGCTGCTGTGGACGAGGGTGTGCACTCGGCCCACAGTTCTATCTCCACAGTTGACGTAAGCAGCCATGACTCCTCATGCCTGGGTTCAGGTTTTCTCTTTGAGACAGGGTCTCACTATATAACTCCAGCTGTCCTGGAACTCACTCTGTAAACCAGGCTGGCCTTGAACTTGGAGATTCACCTGCCTCTGCCTCCTGGTTTTAACTCCCAAGAAGAACATCAGGAAATGGGAGCCATCTCAGAACTTCCGGGGTTGAAATAGAAGCTTCTCATGCCGAAGCACCACAGTGTCGGGCAGAGATCGGGCTCCTCGGGCTCTGTGAGGAGCAGAAACTCAGAGGGGGAGCAGTGAGATGGGCCGCAGGGTGCAGGCCACACACACACCGTCGCTCGGGTGTCACCCGTGTGTCCTGACCACTTCTGCTGCCAGCTGGCCGTGACATTGTTGGGGAAGAGTGTGTCTGGAATACCCTGGTGACAGGTACCAGCATTAGATTGATCCATTGTTTATATGTTGAAATATTTTATATATAATGGTTAATAAACTAATTTATTTCACCTGTTGCTTTCTATTTTTTAGACAGTCTCTCTAAATAGTCCTAGTGATATGTAGACCAGGCTGGCCTCAAGCTCACAGAGCTTCTGCCTCTATCTGGGATTAAAGGCATGTGTCGTCACCCCCAACAGCTTGTTTATTTTTTATGTATGTGTTTTGTCTGTGTGTGTGTGTGTGTGTGTGTGTGTGTGTGTGTGTGTGTGTATACCAAGTATGTGTCTGGTGCTTGCAGAGGCCAGAGTGTTTTTTCTTGGGAAGTATAGATAATTATTCTCAAAGTATGCATTTTGTGTGCACATACATGGAGTGCAGGTGTGTTTGTTGCATGTGTTGTATGCACATGTCAGGGCATAAGTGTTCACATACATGTGGAGGCTTGAGGATGATGACCTTTGGTGTCTTCTTTGGTTGCTTTCCACCTTATAGACTGAAGCAAGAGACTCACTGGGCCCACAGCTTGTAGTTCGTCTGGTCCAGCTGCCAGCTCCAGGAATCCCTGCCTCTGCCTTTTGGATGCTGGGACTACTGAAAAGCTGCATGACCAACTGACCTTTTTTTGTGAGATCTGGGGACTTGAACTCGGGTCCTCGCACTTGCGTGGCAATCTCTTTGCCCTCTGAGCATCTTGCCAGCCCCATGTTCTCTTTTGAAGGAGGGACTTACAGTTTGCTCCTCTACTTGAGTACAGACTAGAAAGATTCTCTGTCCTCAGCTGCTGGGGTGCTGTGGGCAGAGGTTTTGGGGGAACACTAGGTATAGGGAGGAGCTTTGTATCCCTAAGACAAAAGGGATACAAAGCCTTGTCTTGGTGTCTTGGTACCTGCCTAGCCACCTTGAGTATGTTGTGAAGGCCCATTTCTATACCTGCCCCAGGTAGCATCATGGTGTATGAACAATGCTGGGATGAACAGGTCCATTCACATCCCTGAGTGTCATTTAGTGCCCAGCATGGCCTTGGGCACCCACAGAACCAGGGCACAGATAGAAAGTAGCTAAGTGTCTTCGTGGTGACTGTGTAGGATTTTGGTAGCTTTTGGAATTTTATTACTTATTGGGTTTTTAGGGGATACCCCTTCCTCTATCTCTACTCCCTTTTCAGAAAAGGGACACTTAACCACCAATCTTTAAGAAGCCCATACCGATGAGCTGGAGAGTTGGCCTGACTGGAGAGGTTAAGAGGAGCCAGGTTCAATTCCCAGCACTCACATGGTGGCTCACGACTGTCTTTTTAGCTCCAGTCCCAGAGGATCTGATACCCTCTTCTGACCTCTGTAGGTACGTACATGGTGGACATACATTCATGCAAGTCAAAGCCAAACACACAAAAATAAATAAACTTGGGCTGGAAAGATGGCTCAGAGGTTAAGAGCACTGACTGCTCTTCCAGAGGTCCTGAGTTCAATTCCCAGCAACCACATGGTGGCTCACAACCATCTGTAACGAGATCTGGTGCCCTCTTCTGGCCTGCAGTCATACATGCTGTGTACATAATAAATAAATAATAAATCTAAAAAAAAAAAAAGAAAAAAATAAATAAACTTAAAAAATTAAGCCAGCTGGGCATTATGGCACACACCTTTAATCCCAGCATTTGTGAGGCAGAGGCAGGCCGGGCTCTATGAGTTTAAGACCAGCCTATTCTACAGAGCGAGTTCTAGGACAGCTACCCAGAGAAATCCTGTCTTGAAAAAAACCAAAAACCAAAAATCCAAAGACAACAGCAAAACAAAATAATTAAGCCCACATCCACATTCTTATTTTGGTTTATTTACTTTGGTGACTTCCTTTTTTTCTCTTTGTTTCAAGAGTGTCTCACTATCTATCCTTCTAGACAGATGGCCTCTGAACTCAGATCTGCCTGCCTCTTCCTCCGGAAGGCTGAGACTAAGGGTGTGAGCCACCACACCCAGCTGGTTTCTTTGAAACAATGCCCCAAGTATCCAAGGTTGGCCTGGGGTGGCCTTGAACTTCTGATCCCCGTGTCTCCACTTTCCAGGTACTAGGATTGCAGACATCACTATAGCAGTTTATAAAGTGCTGGTGATGGAACCCAGGGCTCCAGGGCTAGGCAAGCATGCGGCCAAGTGAGCTACAGCCCAACCCACTTTCTGTTTTTGATAAACTCCAAATCAGCTTGTCATGGCTCACCCTGAAATTCTTTTCTGCATCCAAGGATCCTGTTTTACCTGAATCAAGGTCCCTAAAAGATTTTTTTAAATCTTAAAGATAATTCCCACCCCCACCCCACTGGATCTTGCTCTATAGACCAGGCTGGCCTCAAATTCACAGAGATCCACCTGGCTCTGCCTCCCAAGTGCTGGGAGCCACCACCACCCGGCTAAATCTTAAAGATAATTTTTAAAGAAATTTCATGGCTCCTCAGTGCTTGCTGAGCCCTGGCTGCTCTTCCTGAGAATCTAGGTTCGATTTCCATCACCCACACCCACAACCATCTCAAATTCCAGTTCTGGAGAATCTGGTGCCCTCTTCTGGTCCCTGCAGGTCTTGCATGCCAAGGTGCAGACAAAATGCTCATATACATAAAATTAAAATAATTCTTTATTTTAAAAATCAAAGGAAATAAAGTTTTAAAGAAATTCTTCAGACTACTACAAGTGACAGAATGGAGCCCTGGTCCCTGTTGCTGCTGACAGGACCGCACAGAAGCCGCACCAGTGAGCACAATCCAGCAGCCACACGACTGTCTAGGGGTGTCACTATCCACCTGTAGGTGTGTGTGTGTGTGTGTGTGTGTGTGTGTGTGTGTGTGTGTGTGTGTAATGAGAGTGAAGGTTTTGCTCACACATGTCTGCACCTGTGTGTGTCTGATGTCTTTGGAGGTCAGAAGAGGGCGTCATATCTCCTGGAATTGGAGCATGGCAGTGGTTGTGAGCCATCCTGTAGGTAGGTGCTGGGACTGAACCCAGGTCCTCTGGAAGAGCAGCCAACATTCTTAGTCACTGTTTCCCCAGCCCTGGAAGCTGTCTTATGGGTTTATGTTGTTGTCTAAGTAGAATCCCAGGATGTAGCCCAGGCTAGCCTTGAGTTGAAATCCTGCTGCTTCAACCTCCCAAGTGCTAGAGTGCTGGGATTACAGACAAGAGCTCTCACCCTGAGAGGGTGGTGCGATACCCCAGGGCTTCCTTCCTGTCTCTCATGGGGCAGACACATCTCCAACTGTTTTGACACCATAGACCTGGCTTTGGGGAGTGTCATCCTCCCCGTCTCGGCTGCTTCCTCCCTTTTCTGAGTTGATTCCTGTTGTCATATCCAGTCCATCTTTGGGTGGGACCCAAAGCCTGGCTGCCGTGCAGATTGGAGCTGCACTTTCTGTCCTCGTTCACAAGATGTCACCAAAAGGCCTTCGTTGGAACGGAGGCTGACAGTGCTGCAGGCCCGTCCTGTGGGGCCCTGAAGAGCTAGGTGGCGTCTCCAAAGCCTGGGTCTGAGCAGCCACCCTCCCCTCACTTCCTCACGGTCTAACTAACGGTCT